TGAATAAAAACATAATATCTAGACCCTCCTTTTATGGAGATAGAAACAGGACCACATACATCTAAATGAACAAGATCAAAAAGTGCAAGAGACTTGTAAGACTTTTATGAAAGGGTAATGCAGTAAACTTGGCTAACTTGCATCCACTACAATTAAAAATGTCATGACACTCTAAGCTACCCAAATTACTAGCACAAGCTAAAAATTTTAAACGAGAATGGATAACATAACTAAGAGGAGAATCCACGAATAAAAATTAGAGGACTGTTGACTCAAACAGAAAGAATACAAATCAATAGTAGAAGCACCAATATATGGAATATGCAACTCATCCCAACACATACAACCCTTCCTTACAATTACTTTTTTGGAACGTGGATCCTACACAACACGACCAGAAGAAGAAAAGTGAACTAAAAATTTAGAATCAAACAACTGGCTAACTGAAATCAAATTTAAGGTCAAGTGTGGAATATAACAAACATTGAAAGTGTTAATTGAGGATAAATCCAACACCAGTACCATTGGTTGCAAGCACAGAGACATGGAAGAGAGAATGTAGATGCAAATAAAGAGGAATCATTTGTCATGTAAGGTATACCACTTGAGTCAAAGACCCAGGCAATCCGAGATATACTTGAAAGACCCAAAATGAATGAACTTATGAAGGGAGAGATTGAGAGAGCATTAGGCTTCTGTCATGAGATAAGCTTCTCCAAGTGGTCATTAATCATAGTTAATTTCACATTGATGTCCTAGGACGAGTCGGAGTTCTAACTTACCATCATTTAAACAAAAAAAAAGACGAATAAAGAAATCAAAGCACTTGAACCAAAAATGTCCACATTTAATTAACCCATTATCCAAGTCACTGTGCATACGACCCAATTTGAAATAGTCAATAGTGGCAAAATGAAGCCCACCCCAATAAACCAAGCAAAGTCCAAAAGGATTAAAGCCCACAGTAGAATAAGTGCCAAACAAACAGCCCAAAAGTCAAACGAGCAAACAATTCAATCAAAAAACCCAACCCACAAGCAATTCAAAAGCCCAAAGCAAAGAACCAACCAATTAGGGTTTTAATGAAAACAGTTGATAAATCAGAGTATAGCAGCAATACAGACTACAGAGGACAAGATAGCAGCAAAACCAGCATTCCAGCAACAAGACAACCCAAATTCCACAACTTTCAAAAGCCCAGAAGATCGAAGGCCCAGCCCAGAAGAACAGCAGGTCAACCCAGCCCAAACGTCACAAGTTTAACCCAGGAGAAGGGCAGGACAACCCAGCCAAACAATCAAAAATCCAGCCCAGAAGAACGGTTGAATTCTTCTTCAAGGTGCAGCAGCAAACAGTCGGCGAACAAGTTAACAAAGAGGAGCAACGTGAAGAAGAGTACAGTGCAAAATCAACTACCAGAAATCACGAGGAATTAAACCAGAAAACTCTGTAATTTAACAGCCCATCACCCACAAGAATCTCAAGACCAGAGAACAGAACACATACAGATCAGTTTGTGCAAAAATCAAAACTCCTTGTCGCTAACCTGATGTGGCTGAAATAAGGATGAATGAAAATCCACTCCAATCTTTTCCAACTACTTTGAATCCTTCAATCAACTCCAAGAAACCCTCGGTCCAACCTCTCAATAATGATTCGAAGCTATTGTGTCAAGAAAACTTTGCAAAATCCTCATATCGAAGATTTCGATTAAAATCTGGAAAATATTCAAAAAATCAAAAATCATACCAAAAGACCACAAAATAAAAACCAAACCTTGTTTGTTTAAGCCCATTCATAGTCGAACAGCTTGGTGGTCTTGATCCCCTCTAGCTGCTGACGTCATTACATGCATTAGTGACGTTAGCCCTTGTATGAGCCAGATTTGGCTTCAGATAACCACTATTGTGTTTCTAATTGTATTTAGGAATCGGAATAGCTCTGATACCATGAAACATCAATAACAAAAGAAACAATGAAAAGAAACGAAAGAAAATATTATTGCGGCTCCATAAGTTTATTACAACATCTTAAAAGATGCATAATAGAAACCCTTTATAGTAGGGCAAAACAAATAAAGGATAAAAGGACTAAATTATCCCTAATACTAAAATACTCTAACAAATCCATTCTCCCAGTGCTGCCCCTCTACATAACACTGGAGAAAGGCAAGCATTTGGTCTTCTCTTTTATAAATAGCATTCAAGGTAAAACATGACTCCCGGACAGTTACCAATTGCTTTGGTATCCCACGAATCAACAAAGCTTTCGAAAAGTTTTTTGCCAAGAATAATCAAGGATAATCAACAGGCTCAAAGATATTATATTATCTAGTTTCATGTTCGCGCTCATTCCCTGCATCAGATATAACACTTGTAATTGAAAGTCGAACCACCTAAAATTTTAATAAGTATAACATAGCATTTACATGAAAAATTACTAAAAGGTGGACATGTTTTTTTGACTTCTAATCAACAAAGATCAAAGAAAGTCAAGGAGACTAAATAATATTCATGCATGTGTACATATTTATGTTTATGAATTTGTTCTTATTTGTTATTGTCTAGGAAACACAAACACTACACCGGAGATTGACATGGCAATGTCAGACACACGTCCGACACGAATACATGTGGGACACGGCTGGACACGTGTCCTGACCAATGAACAAGGATTTTTTTTAAGTCAAATACGACTGGAATACGTGGGGTATACGGGAAATAAGGGATTGAGAAAAAAAAGAGGAAAGATCGTTGATGGAACAGAGAAGAGAGAAGAATAGGCCAAGATACATCTTTGCAAGCCATAGATCCGACCACAAATTTGAAAGCCATAGATCTGGCCAGGTACATCGTCTCGAATTCTTCCTCATCTTTTTTCCTCCTTCTTCACTAGACAAAGGGTCTAAACCCTCTCTCCCCTTACGATTTCTCTCTCTCTCGCTCTCTGCAATCTCTCGCTCTCCATGATTGTGGAGAACGACTTGTCGTAGCCTGTTTAACTTTACTCTTTTATATTTTTTCACGCTCATACTCTCGCTATTTTTCATGTTCTCTCTCTATTTGAACATATTAAATTTTAATTTTTTTAAATATTATTCTTTTTTTTTTTGGTATAATCTATTTATTAGCTGTCAAATACATTAACCCACTATCCAATTTAGTATTAGCCCTTCAATTATAACATGTTAACCAATTGCCTAATTTAATATTAGCTCATTGTCCAATTATAAGATATTAACCAATTGCTCAATATTTATTAGGTCGTATTATTAATATTTTTATTTATATAAAAATATATAATATTAGTTTAATTAACTATATCCTTTGCCGTACCCGTATCCTATATTTTAGAACTTTATCATATCCCCGTGTCCATATCGTATCGGATAGATACAACACCCTTGTCCGTGTCCGTATCCGTGCTTTGTAAGTTACTGTGCATCTAATGGCATTTTCCCCCTTGGCTATATCATTTACAAAGTTTTTGGTATAAAAGTGTCATCTTCAAATATTCCAGAATATTCGCAAAAGTGCATGTTTCTCTCAATAAGTGTCAGTGTCATGTCAAATCCAGGTCTTTGTCTTATCCCCATGTTTATGCAAAATAGTCACACGCGTATCAACCAGTACAACCTGGGAAAAATTTCAATCCTAGTTTCCACAAAAAATTTTGAGGAGGCGATATGCTCTTTCTAGTGGAGGAGCACAGGGCATTCTAAAATCAACAAAGACCATTAATCTCCCATTTACTAGGTATGTTGTGGAAAATTCAAGGAGCATAGTTAAAAGAAAACTTTCTAAATACAACAGGCACCAAAGAAATTCTAAACAATTTCCACAACTGAACTGAAGGACACTCGTGACCAAAAGAACTCAAGAACACTCATTGGAGCACAAGATTTTGCAAGAACAATAGTTACAATAACAATATTTGGAGCAGGCAAAATAAAAAACAAAGATGTGAAAGAATGATAGATTGCCAATGCAAATGAATTGTGAAACCTAATAAGAACCAACATACCATTTCTGGAAAACGAGTTAGCTCTTCAACTTTGGTTACAAACACCCCAGCTTGTTCTAAAGCATATGCTGTTCCTCCAGTGGAAACAATGTTAAATCTACAGGTCAGAAAAGAAAACATTAAAATAGAATAATGGCCAGTCGTTGTGAGAAGTACATGATTTTTAAATGCAATCTTTTTTAGCATTAGCAAACTGGAAAATGATTGGACAGACAGAATTGGCATTATATAACAAAACCAAGCCTGTAAAAAAGATATTTTATTCTCTTTGTACAAATACTGTTAATGTTTAAGTCTCTAGACTCTCTACCAGTCCACCTCGACCTGTCAAAGGACCTCATGACCCTTTTTATACTTACCTAAGAAAAACAAAAGGCAATATTAGCATGGAATGGTGTTCCACTAAAACTAACTCCTCTAGAGAAAATATTAATCCAAATGGATGCTTAGAATTTGCAAATCCCAACGCGCTACATACTACAATTCTCAATGAAGTTTTCAACTAACGCTTGTCAATTGTCTAAAATGTCCTCGTCATTGTTTTACATTATTAAAATGCAGTTCTGCCTATGATTCAATCATCCACATGAATGAAAAGAAAAAGGGATATTAGATTCAATGTCTCTAACACCATTTCAATGTGTCATTCATTTCCACATTCTGTTACATAAAATACAATATCTAAACATAAATTTGACGCCAACTGCTTGACTATATGTAATTAAACAAGGTTGGCCTCAAAGTTGTAGCCATTCTTAATGGGGATCCAGAAATATTTACATCATTGTAATTAACTACTATGGTTACAGCATCTAAACTACCCTCTTAACATCCAAAGTACAATATTCCCAAAACAAGACAATATCATCATTGAAAAGTCGAAAAAGGCAGATATGATTGTCAGAACCGATTATAAGTGATTGCTACGGGTTAATCATAGTACAGGAGAGTATAAAGGAGGTAAAATGTTTTGCACTTCACCCTAATTCTTGAAGTCCGTTGCCCAGCAAAGACAGATCCCTCTTGTCTGACAGTGAAATCAGCGCTTGCTTGCTACCTGAAACGAAGCAGAGATCATATAGGTCATGTAAAATGCATGAGGAAAAAATCTAAAAAAAAAAAAGGGTAAGAAAACAATGTTATTACAGTTGCAGCACTCTTTTATTGATTCAGCAATTTTTAAACCAGGCAAGATGGTTCCTTAGGGATGTGCAAAAGCCAGCCAAATGAATTTTAATAGATTTTAAGCACGAGGAAAAAAACATTAACTGTAGCACAGCTTATGGAACTTGTGCTTTCTGACACTGGCCATTATTTATTTGTCATGTATCAACTCTGAAAAATAAAAACAAGATAAAGATATGAGGAAAAGACAAAAGAAATAAGGGAAACCCATTTGATTATTTCAGAGAAACACTAATCCTATGTGACTTTAAGCCCAAACCCTATTGGTTCAGATGGCTTCCCCTTGGCCCTGAGATGGCCAGGACCAGTTATTTCAATGGAGCCAGATTTTGTGAGGAGAAATTGATAATAATTGTAGGACAGACTACAGAAATGGTGAATTCTGGCCTTATCCATCAATGTGCTACTTCTCCTTACCTATACCACCAAAAAACAAAAATATGCAATTCTGTCTTTTATTCACTTCCTTTGACCACAAACGGAGTGTAGATAGCTATGAGTCCTCATATTAATTGTAGACCCCTATATTCTCAATATTGCACTGCATATTTCAATCAACTCCCATTAATATTCCCAACTCAATTAATCTCATTTGACTGCTCAAAGGACTGATCAGATCTTCTTTCATTTTTGGTAAGTTTAGTTGTAGTCCCACAAGGTCAATATTAGTGCCATGAACAATAGAGCTAGGGTAATTTATTTTATCAATAAATGAAACTTCTTAACTCATTGGTTGTAATAATGACCCTCAAATCATCAGAGTTTGTCTTAAAGAAGAGTTTTGTCAATGAGAGAAGGAAAGGGCTTTAAGATCAATGCATCCAGATCCTCCATACAAATAAGTGTATATAAGTAAGACTCGGAAACAATTGGGATATGTGTCCTTTTCAAATGATACCAACCCACCATTAGACCTCCTCTCATCCTCATCAGTCCAAACACAAGTGGAAGCCATGTCAATCACATCCAATCGAGTTGTCTAAGGAGGAAGCTAAATGTGGTAATACTAATACCCTCCACAATGAAAACAACCTTTATTCGACACCGATATTGGTTTCACTTTATTAGCTTATTTTAACAAATTTAAACTATTTCATAGTGCGATGATTCTACTTAATTTTGCAACAAACAACAATTTTTCTTTAAAAAACAAGAAAGAACGAAAAAAATCTCTATTGTCTACAACAGTTTCGAATTTTCCAAAAATCTTCAACACTTTTGAACACATAAATATCTTGTCAATCTTTCTTTGCCATTCTGCAGAATTTATGAATTCTGATTTACCCAATTCTATGTGTAGGTGTTCTTTCACAGTTCAATGGTAACTTGATGATTCTCCACCTAAGAACGGGGCTTAAAGGCTGAAAGCAACCATTTCCTACAAATGTTAAAACGTTACGCCTATTAATAGTCTACTTCCTCTTAACAGCTCTCATCAGGAACACACAATGTAATGATGTTTTTTAATTTGAATCCACTCGAGACCCCGAATAAACCCGAAAATGCATTTTGGAGAACAAAATCCATGCCTTGGAACTGAAATTGCAATTCACATAGGTTTAGATTTTATAATATTCTGCTCCAATTCCAATTCTGATTTCGATGCATGAATTCTAGGCCCTAAATACGGCGCGTCTTCTTATCAGAATCTTGACACCATAGCATGTTATCACTTTCTCTATAGTGTTGTCACACAACTACCCGCCTAGAAGGGAGACAATGTTGTCACACTAGATAAGCCCACCGCCAGCCTACTAGTCAAACTTGTCATTCTTCAAACATGGCAAACAGTGATTGGATTCACCAATTTAGAGGCTACCAATAACACATCAGGTGTTTGTGTCTGACCGTGTCATTGGCAAGCATCAAAGGGAGTGAGGCAGCAAGACTCCCTCAGTGGCAGTGGGCCATGTTTAAGGAATTGCCAGTCTTAAAGAAAATGTCGTTCATTACCTTATCAGATATAAAGGGATTCCAAACCTCTTTCTGACAAATTTTAATAATCTAGATTAACTTACAAAATCTACCTTTTAAAAACTTCATACCCATTTTTCTAGAAAACCATTTACAGGAATAACAATACCCACAGTTGACAACAACCCATGTCTCTCTTAAGTTTAAGACATAAGATTCTGATTATCTCATCTAAAAAAATCAACTTTTTTTTTTGGTATATTTATTGATCTTTAATTTTATAGTTTGTGATAATCAATTCTTGTGATAATTAATTCACTTTGGCATATACAGAAACATATTTGTTCCCCCATATTTCAACTTTAGTGGATTGGAGTCATTGAAACGGTATTAAGAACAAAATCAAGTCTAAACGTCGACATATATAAAAAGAGAGAGAGAGGGTTAAATTTTAAAGTACCAGAAGCAGAGGGCTTCGAGTCAGACTTGGGTGTGACAAGGGTTTCAGACACCTCTGCCATGGCTTTGATACTCTCCAACCTGAACGACATCGTCGATGACTGAAACTAAAGAAAAATTCAAGACTGACAGTAAATAATATACATAATATATGAACAAAAATCAAAATATCACTTTGGGAGTAATTATTTATCTTCCTTACCAGTTGGAAGCACCAGCTAGCTTTGTGGAGATGGAGAGCAGTGCATGAAACGCTAGAATGCACACGGTACACAGTGTTAGCGCCAACGACAGCGACGGTGGTGGATGCAGCGGCAAACCCTAACATATTGTGAAACTAACTGTACTGGAGGATGTTTGTACTAGGTGTACTGCATACAAAATCTTGATCACTAAAGGACCTGGAAATTTACATTTTATCATTATAATGCTATTAGATCATCATCTCAAACTTTGTGAACACTTTCTATAAAACACAAACACTGAAGAATAATCATACTGGTAATTCATACCCAGTACCCCCTCATCCAGAGCACACTTTTATCTGCCCTACTACCACTTTACTAATTTTTTTACTTTTTCTTGGCCCATTTGCTTCAACCAACAACATCAAGTAAAACCAAGCAAAAAAAAAAAAAAACAGAATCAAGTAAAAGCTTCAAAATGATTCTTCAGATTGAATGTGTCAACAGCCATGAGCTTTTGTGCAAATCTTAGAGCATTGTTTTAAAACCTAAGATGACTCATTTTCAATTTCCAAAGTGCTATATTTCCTAATTACTTAAAATAGTGCAAATCAATCAGCCAAAAAAAAGTCACTTGAACAAAAAAAATCAGTCACTTAGACCATTTTCCTTTTAAAATTCATAAATGCCAACCAAAGGTCTTATAGAGACTTGTTAAGGTTATTTATGACCATTTATCTGCTGATCCAAATCCCCTAGGGGATGAAAAGCTTTTCTTACATCAAGAATCATGGTTCCAGAACCTTTCAAAGGGAATAATTCAAGAAAACATGCAAGAGATCTTCAATAAACACATAAATTGATCATAACCAAAACTAGGGTTTTAGAAGTAAAGTACATGCGAGTTTTGATATAAAACATGGATAGGTTAACTCATAAAAACTTTGTCATTGCTCAATTTCACTTTGCTCAAAGCTTTCTGTCAATGGTGCTAGCACCTGTGGTAAATGAACATGGCAAAAAATTTACTATTAGAGCATGAGGACAGATAATATCCATTTAAAATTTATAAATGCCAACTAAAGGTCTTATAGAGACTTGTTAAGGCTATGACCATTTATCTGCAGACTCAAATTCCCAAGGGGATGAAAAGCTTTTCTTAAATAAAAAACTTTGCTTTTGCTCAATTTCACTTTGCACAAAGCTTTCTGTCAATGGTGCTAGCACCTATTGTCAATACCCATGGCGAAAAATTTACCATCAGAGCATGAGGACAGATTTATGCCTTTAGAGTATGAGGGCAGATAATAACAAAACGGCAAAATGAAAAGAACAGATTGATGCCTTTAGAGCATGAGGAAAGGTAATAACAAAATAGCAAAAATGAAAATAACAGGTTAATATCTTTAAACAATGAGGAACAATGTCCCAACCCAATCCCAGCCTTTTTTTCTAAAATTCAAAAATGGTGGCAAAAGAGAAAAAAGGAGAGAGAGTTAATAGAGTAGGTTCTATCTTTCACTTTCATTTTACTCTTCTTGGACATTTCTTCAAACAGTTATCAGTCACTAGGTGCAGGCCACTAACGATCATTTTGAGCTGAATAGTTTTGATTTGGTCGAAGGTAGAGTGTGTGTGAGTCTGTGTGTGTTTGCTGAGCGGAGAGAGAGAGAGAGAATATACATCAAGAAGAGCGAAGGCGTCGTTGGTCTCTGGTTGGTGATGGAAGTCGTCGGCTGGTCGATTATCTTGCCGTCGTTGGTCGCTGCTTGCTGGAGGGAGAGAAATATCTCAGACCCGAGGAAGACAGAGGGAGGCGCTGGCGCTGTGGGCTGAAGTAGAAGGAGGGGACTAGGGCTGGAGCTGGGGCAGGTGTAGGGGATTTGTCTAGTGACTGTGTTGGTTAAATTTTTAAACGCAAAAAAAAAAAAAAATTATAAAAGATAATTTAACTTATTAAATGTATGTAATACATATTCGGATAATACGTTCTACATTTATTGTTAAACCTATTTGATACCATTTCTAACTATAACTCAAATTTTTATCCAAATTTAAATTAACATTTGAATAAAAATCTTGATTTGATATAAAGGACTCTAATAGACAAACTTAAATTTAAAAAAGGAGAGACTCAAATTTAAATGATAGCGAACCCAAATTTAAAAGGAAATAAGGATGACAATTAGAATTTTAAAAGATGGTGAAATCTCACTATTAAAGATTTGAATCTCCCTGAGTAAAAAAATGAATTTCTCTTAATTTGATATAAGTTTAAGTCAAGGGTTGGAGTAGATTTTTTAAACTTTTTTACCTAAATTTAAATTTGAGTCTAAATTTGAGTAAGGGTTGGAGATCCCAAAGAGCCGATGCAATGAAAATTGAGGTCTTAAGCGAAAATTATAAATAAGATTATTTTAAATTAAAAATAAATATATAAGATATATGATTAAAATTTCATTCAAAATTGTTGTTCTAACTTTTTTGTGATGCAAAATTGATAACTAAGTTTCTATGGTGGGGTTATTCCCACCCCATATAATTATTCGTTATCAAACTATTAAATCTACCATTTCTATACACATTCTATTAGTAATTAAGCTTATCTCATGTTACATATATCTCATTAATAGTTAAACTCACTTATTCTATGTATACCTCTTTAATAAAAAAAATTATTATAAGAAATAAAATAATAAAAGAAGACAATTAATTTGAATGCATAAATACATTTACAAAACAAAAAAAAAGTCAAACAAGACTGAAACAAGAAAAAAAATAATAAAAAAAGAAATAAATACAAAAAAAAACATGTTGAAACAAGAAAAAATAAGAACAAAATAAGAAAAAAAAAGGAAGAAATAAACAAATTGAAACAAAAAAAAAGAACGAAATAAGAAAAAAAAAACATAAAGAAATAAGCACCCTGAAATAAGAAGGAAAAAAAAATCATGCAAAGATTAAATAAATAAGCAAAAATACAAGATACAAAATCGAATATGAAAAAAAACAAAATTAACCATCAAGCAAAGACACAAAATCGAACAAGAAAAAATATAACAAATATAGATGCAAAATCTTAACAAAATAAAAAAAAATAAATAGAATGAAAGTATACATATATATACGCTCATATAAATTATAAATAAAAAATTATCAAACTTAATAGAGATATCAAAACATATCGAAAAAAATGAAAATTCATATAACAAACATAAAATCAAACATAAAATTAAATGGAGAAGTAATACTAACATGTATCTCACTGAAAAAAATCACATTGAAAGTATATTAGATGAGTTAAAGAATGAAATTTTAATTATGACAAAATATAAAGATGGTTTACTTATTAAAGGGGGTGTATGTAGCAAAAGGGTGGGCTTAGTTACTAATGGAGTGAGTATAGAAAGGAATATGCTTAGCAGTTTGATAATAAAAATTAAATGGAGTGAAAATGGAGATTTGTGGGGTGAAATAGCCCTACCCAAATTTCTATATTCAAATTTTGTTAATATATATTTTTTAATTGATAATCTGACTAATCCACTGCAATTTTTTTAGAATATTTTTAAAAATGAAATGAAACAATAGTATATGATAAATATAGATTGTATGTAAACTTCAATTTTTTATTCATGTTTCACATCATCTATTAAGTCTAACATTCGCCAATAAGAAGAACAATAAAATTAGATTAAATTATACTTGATGATATCCTGAAGAAATTTTAAGTTTGAGCTCGGCAATTGAGGTCATGAAGGGAACTCAGCCAGGAGACCCTAAGCTCAACAATCCAGGTCTGGGACCTCCTCGACCTACACCCCGAAGAAGATGCATGGAAGACAACTGGAAACCACAACACGCCTCCTCCACAGTAGGAAGTGCCAATCTAGGTGAAAGATCCTTAATCGTCGTAACCACTGCCTAGAATAAAGCAAGACGTTGCAAGGGAAAGACGAAGATCTCGCTATAGACCCCTTTGAATCAGGAACTAGGTTATAAATACTATAAAAAGTCCTCACTAGAAAAAGCAATCTCTTCTAAACGAAGAAGATTTTGTAACCTACTATCCATCTAGAATAAAAGTATCTGGAGCAAGAGACTCATTTAAAAGAATGGACTAGTCGAGCTCCTGAGCTAGCGAACCATTATAATTCATCAGCGTAATCAATCCCTTCTCACCCTAAAAGTTGTTCATTTAGAATCACCATAGCCTTGTAGCACAATTCTAACCCCCATTCATACATAATTTGATCCATCACGTTTAGTACACCATCAATTTGGCGTTGTCTGTGGGAACGACTGTTCCTATTACAAATACGCTGATTCTTTCAGTAATTGATGGTCTCTACATGCAACATGAACAAAAGCTAGATGAATCCCCCACGTATGCATAACCAACATGAGGCCACTAGCAGAAGACAACAAGAAAATATTTAAGACTTCTTTCCCATTGCTGAGACCAATCTTCCCATGATGAATCCCCTTGTGAATAACAAATTGGAGGCTCTTCGCCTAGTCAACCAACGTCTACTCCAACAGAATGAAGAGCTTTTGAACCTCCTGTAAGTTCCTCAGCAGGCACGACCAGCCCAAGGAAGTCCCCCAAAAGGGGAACATCAACACCTCGATCCCCCTAGGGAAGTTAATGAAGAGGGTGAGAATAGATAGGCCATGGGATAGGCTCCTCATCCACCTCATAGGAATAGTGACAATGAAGAAGTGCAGAGTCAGAATGATGGGATCGAGAAAAATGATTTTCTCCCTTTCCAGCAGGAAAAGATAGAGTTGTACCTGGAGCAGCTCTTCAAAGACATCCAACAAGAGTTCAGTCATATGAAGGAAGCTGTGAGGGGTAAGACCCCAGTAACAATGGATTCCTTGGTGCAACAGATTGAATCTCCATTCATCACTGATGTCCTGCATTTTTCCCTCCCTCCAAAATTCAGAATTCCCTAAATGGATGTTTTTGATGGAACAAAAGATCTCATAGATCACCTTAATACCTATAAGAACCAAATAGAGTTGCATGGGTATCAGGACCCTGCATGATGTTGGGCCATCGCCATCACACTGAAAGGCTCAGCCTTGGCATAGTTTAAAAGATTACCCCCGACGTCAATCTCTTCCTTCAAGTAGTTCT